ATAAGGTCTTTTTACCAGAAGTAAATATAAAAAACTCAAGGGTAGCAGAAAACTGATTTATTGTAGTGATTACAACATTTCTCAACCAGAAACACTTAAACTATTACTATTTGTGACTAATCTTCCCTAATATAACATATATATTTAAGTATCCTAAATATAAATCTTTTTAAAAAACTATAGTTTAATTCAAACTAAATAAAATGTCGTACAGTATTCTGAATATTAGTGTCAATAATTTCGGCAATATGTTACAGAGTAATACAAATTAAAAATAAAGAATGTGCTTTATTCACAGTGTGAATGTAGGTAAGTCCATAATCACAAGCACATGCCCTCCGGGTGGGTTACGTTGCCCCCTCTGGGCCAGGCTGCAAGCCAGACAGTAGAATTCGGTTACAATCTTAAGACATACAGTGATCTTAAAGGGAGATACCGGTTATTTTAAATCATTCATAGCACAAGAAGCAGATATTTTCCATATTCCTTACTGTCAACAGCTTACTATCTCTTTCCTATGAGCCAACCCATACAACTAAAAACAAGACTAATTGCCTGATTTTAATTTCTCCACCCGCTGTTGATTTCCCTGATGAAGATTATAAAATGCCATGAAAGCTAAGAAGCAGGAAGGAGAGAAAGAAGCCACAAGCTCAGATAATCTACAAATTCAGTAATGGCACCATGAGCACGTTTGCTCTGGACGGTTCTTCAGACACCACCTATCACTGATATTCCCGCAATGCAAGTGAATAAATCACCTCCCTTAGATGGGGTTCCCCCACCATCTGGCTCAGCGTCACTAAAGTGTGACTCACATGAAAAACCCATATGACAACCATCCACAGACTCTTCCAAAACAGGTACTCAGTGCAGATATGAAGATATTTCAATATATAAGACAGGCAGTCAAGGAAGAGCTAACCTCAGAGCCACCGTATCACTCCATGCACAACTATTAAGTGCGTGTTGCCACAGGTGCTGACATGCACAGGTGGACAAGACAGCCTCCCCCTGAAGATGGTCAGTTGTGTTCAGTTTTACATGCATGCAAGTAACCCTTGTGCACCATGATGAGCGCCAACAGGGACACCCTGGACGGAGACTGACAGCATGGGAGGGTCCTGGGAGCGGGAGGGCTCTGTGGAAGAGGCGGTAAAGTCCAAAGGCGTTTAGAGTAAGACAAGAGCAGACGCCAGGCCAGCTGCTTACTAAAGCTTTCTAAGACGTGGCTTCTCAATCAATAAAATGAAGATAAAACTGTCTGTACAGCTAGCTTACTGTAAAAAAGGAAAAGCCTTAGTGTGCATAAAGTCATCAGAACGGTTTCTTGAAAATACAGCTTAGTGGATTGTACTGTTGCTGCTGTTGTTATTACACAGTCTTGAAAACAGCTGCAGGGATTTCACAGCCCGGCCTCATCACACTTCGCTGGGTTCACGTGTCGTATGCTCACTCCGAGTTAATACCTCAGCTGTGGGTCGCCTACAACTAAGAGGGCAAAACTCGGTGACGAAGTTCCAAGAGTGATGATGAAATTCACAAGCTGCTCTGCTTTCTGAAAGGTCAAAGCGCGTGAAAGAGAAACATGCCAGATTATTACCTTGGCAATAGCGATACGTAAGCAATCACACAGGGAAAGTGCCTTTTCTTTGCCACTATAGGGGCAATGGGTCAGCAACGCACATACCAGCAAATACCAGCAAATACCACCTCTTCATCACCAACAGTCAGCAAGTGGTAAGTACAGAATGAGAAAAACAAAGTAAAATTTTAGAAGTATAGAATGGAAAACAAACAAATAACAGGTTATCAGGAGACATCAAGAGGGTATTAAGGGAACAAGAAAAGGGGGACATAAGGGAAGTAGCATCTTAAGGACCCTATATGTCATGCTAAATATCTAACTTTTACTCTGTGGATGACAGAGAAGCATTACCTTTAAGACAAGGTGAGATATTTTTAGATCTATTGTTTCCACCTCACATCCAAATTCATTAAATATTGTGTTTTCCACTATACACACACACACACATGTTGGAGATATCTCTTTGTCAGCTATGCCATTACTATTTTAAATGAACCCATGCCGTGCTGGTTTTTTTAAGGGAGTGGTAAGTTAAAAATAGTGTGCATAGATGTTCCACACACTCGACTACTTGCCTGCCTGTTAGGGATTAAAAATTCACTCGCTTTTCCTTTTATTCACTACACGTTTATTCAATCTCCACTATAGAAATGTCACATATAATGTTAAATCTTGATAAAACCTTAAAAGTGCATCCTACGTTAAGTGTAATAGGCATCTTCTGTTCCTGTGGAGATGTAATAAGGTGTATTATCAACAGACCAACTTTTCCACACCATACTTTTAAGTAACAGTAGGAACACTGGTATTTTCTTTCAAATGATTGTTCCTTTAAACTATTCAATTTCTTAAAAAGCTGCTTTAAAAACAGACCTCAGGAGTCAGGCGAACGTGCGGTGAGCAGGGCGCCCAGGAAGGCAACAGCCCGGGAAAGGGGCCGCCGAACCGACTCCCGGGGAGCCCCGTGGGGGGCCGTGACCCCCCAGCACGGTTTTCAGGAGCGGGCTCCTGTGCCCACAGTCTGTCCCCCGTCATTCCCCGGTGCTCCCTTCTCCCACCCCCACTCCTGCCCCCTTGCTCCCGCAGGCGGGCTCCCTCAGCTCTCCCGGGGCGCGCGGACAGGACACAGGGAGCCCCTGCCTGGAGGAGTCCCCGAGGCGGGGCGGCCCCGTCGAGGCCGCAGTGGGCGGCTCCCGAGGCTGACTCTCCTGGGTGGTGCAGGTCCTGCCTTCCCTTGGGGGGCTTCCTCCCCCGATGCTCAGCAGGACGGGGCTTCTCCGTCTCTACCCAGTGCCTGGGGCGGGTGGCTTTCCCCGGGACAAACTCTCACGGTGGAAGCTCATTTACTTTGTCATCGGCCGCCTCTTCCCCACCATCATGGTAAGATTTCAAAGTCCAAGACTACAGAATGGGCTCTGTGACTGACTTTATGCAGAAGTCGCTCCTTCATTCATTCTTCGGTTCACTCGTTCATCAAGCCACTGCTGGGTGGGGAGACACAGGGACGGATATGATGAGGTCCCTGCCTCACGAGGACGGTGACGTAGGAGGGACGGCCGGTGTTACAGAGGCCTTTCCGCAAGAACTGTTCAGAGGCGGTGTCACCACAATCAGACCTTACCACTTATCAGAACTTTTCACTCAACCACAGTCTATGAAACAAAATCTGGTGTTTTTCCAGGTAAAGTGTAAAGGTATTTTTACCATCTTCTGTTGATTTTTAGAAGCTCTCCTAGGGCATCTATGAGAAGGGCAACAACTCTAGCCCTACGTGAGGTTGCTGGGCATTCAGACTGGCTATGAATTTGGCATTGGTTTCTGCAATCTTGCTATTAAAGAGCTGAATCCACTCCAACAGGTATGGCTGTCTTACAGGCAATTCACGATTTTGCTCCCCTCTGTTTATTTCCTACCTGAAACTGTCTGACTTTCACTTCTATGGTTCCTTTGATCGTTGATGAGATCTTTTTTTTAAATCCAAAGAATTGGCATGTCACCAACCACACACTGGTAGGGCTTTCTTCTCTTCCTGCCCACCACACGTCTACACATCTCCTGCTCTTCACGACGTGTGCCTCACACGTGCTGCAGGCAGGGCAAAAGCACTGCAGCGCTGAGCACAGCTCCTGTTTACAGAGTCTTCTAGCTTTTTCAAATGCTGAGTCAAAGGGTTAAGTAAAAATTGACAAGCCTCTGACTTACTGTTAAATGGCCAGTCACGTTTGTCCTACACCTTACAACGCACCACAGCTAACACACAGACCACAAACCTTTACTGAGAAGATCTGGCCAGGAAACTGTGAGTGACAAAACTGAAGATATGTAGATTACCTCATAACCTATTTATAATTAATTAATTAATATAATTAATGACCACTATCAGCTGTTCTTGGGATTTTTAAAGCACATTGTTGCTGTTATGGAGGCTTTTCAGCAACAACCTCAACAAGTACAGGCCTCGAGTCACACTGGCAGGAACTATCAGGTCTCTGAGTCCTCGCGTTTCCGCATCCCAGCGGCTGGGCCCGCTTTGGGATATTTGGAACGTCATGTTTCTGTACAAACCGCAAGGTACACACAGATTCAGACTGTAAGCGCCTCGTCTCTGTGCTGCGCAGAGGACTTCCAACAGCGCCCCTGGTCTCTGAGCCGGAAGGACGGCCTGACGTGACACTCTGCCTCAGGTCACAGTCAGGGACCCTGGTGGGCACTTGTTCATTTACAGGGTGGCTCGCGCCCCTGTCCACACAGGGTCTCCTCTCTCGTGCCAGTCGCCATCAGGTTCCACAGCTACTTGCACACACACCCATTTTTCTAGTTCGGTGGGGAGCATCCTCGCCGGCGGAAGGTATAAAAATGAAACCAGAGATCTCACATTATCGAGACTCCTTTTTTCATAGCAACCACAAGGGAATCGAGGGGGAGACCACCACCTCTGTGCCTCTGATTCTACTTCACCACTAACTACCTCCAGACAAAGCATGGAATTTAAAACACCCCCAAACTTACAGCTCAGCATCCTTCCTGACAGGGCTAATGGTAGTTCAGATATCGTGACGTCACTGCTAATGGAAAAATCAAAGCACCGCATTAGCAGTCCTGAATGAGAGAAGACAAGGCGCCGAGGCAGATCCACGCAATGGAAAACTGAGGGGCGGCGAAAAAGAAACAAAGAACTGGGGCACGGCGGCAGCGCCGGGCAATCTCGGCAGCACCAACGAAGGATGCAGAAGCACTGACAAGGTGTGCACACGGACGAGAAGGATCTGAAACCCTCGATTCACTCTCACAGTGTAAGGCCACAAAAAAATGTGGAAGTGGATTTGCATGAACGTCCCGTGATGATGCTGAGGCGGCCACACCGGATTGGTTCGTGTCTGTGCCGGCCCGGAAATGGGCCGCGTTTCCTTACCTCCAGATGCTCTAAAATATAGGGCGGGTTCGTCATGCCGAGCCTCAGCATCGCTCCCTCCGGGATGACTTCAACCAGCTGCCAGAGCAGCGTGGGGAGACTGGTGCCAATATCTCTGCCGTAGGCCCCTGTGTCTTCGCTGGTCAACCATATCTCACAAACGCCCTCTGTGAATTAAAGCGGATAATTAACGAACCTGTTGCAGAGATGCTCCTCAGCACCACAGCCGCCTGCTCTGTAAGTGCAGAATTTCTCAGCCCCAGTATGCAGGCAACCTGGGAATTCAATCGCCGAGAAAAAGCAGCATATCTCATGGTGGCACTGGGCTACTGAGTTCAGTTTATGAACACCCAGAGAGTTACAACAAAGCTGTAAATAATCAGTGCGCCCCACGGAGTGAGTAAACTTCATGGCCAATCTGTTCAACCGTGCTTCCTCCCAAGCACCGAGATCAAGACTAAAGCTTTGGGCCCAGCACAGCGAATCCCTATTTTACTAAACACCGTAGGCCACAGAACGGAAGTCCGCGGAGCGAGTACTGTGAGCTGCTCCTCACTGATCAGTCTGTCAACCAGCCCAAGGAAAAATGTCAGGTGGAGTTATGGCTTAACTCACAAATTATTAATTATGAGGTACCCTTTCTCCTGCAGCCACAGTTCTGTTTTCTTGTTCAATTAGAGTTGCCTGCAGCGTATGACTGTGTTCAAAGAAGTTGGCTGCTGTGTTGGAAAACCTGACTACGGACAACTTAGCTCCTGTTTTCCAACAATCAACTTTAGGAAAATGTATATATATTTTGTTGTTATTGTTGCTATAAAGAACCCTGACTTCAAATATTTAAGCCAACAATAACATCCTTCCAAAGTCAAAAAGAGAGAGACAAGAGCCACGTGTGGCTTTCAAGGCTCACAGAATCTGGCTGGATGCATATGGAGTTAAAGGATTAGCCTATTTTAAAAGACCAAACGATTCCCCAAGTTAAAACCAACCCTGAAATGGGCCTGAGAAATTTGCTCAAGCGAAAGTTCCCTATTTGTTGCCTCTGAAGAACTGCCACACACACACAAGGCATATAAACAAAAACGGAACCAAAAGCGTAATTTCCTAGAAAGAGTCTACAACTTATCATTTTAAATTGTCTTTAGTTGACTGGACAGAAGATTTTCAAAAATACATTGAAATACTCCTAGCCAAGGGGGATAACTAATAAAACACAGTTACTGTATAAACACAAACATAAAATGTACAGAATAAAGAAGCAAAAGGTAAAGCTACTCACACTCTTTAATGTGTTCCAGAGGTGGAAAAAAAAACATGAGCTTAATAAGATCTCCAATCACCATTCTTTCCACTAGAATAAGAGATATATTTACCTTAGAAAAAAAACTAGCCAAACCACACAAAAACATGTCCACTTTTCCCCACTTGCCTTTCTGAGATACGCACATCCTCGCCTACACCCATACAACATAGAAAATACAAGGGTAAAAAATAAAACTTTAGTGTCCTCAAATCAAAGAATCAGTGACTGAGGCTAAGGACAGGAGGCATTAAAAAAAACAAAACTGCTCTTTTGAAAGACTTGGAGATGTTTTTAGTATTTGAAAATCAGTGGTACTGAGAATATATGGGTTATCTTACTATAAATTAAACATGTAGTGCCTTTGCTCGGCTTTAATAACAAGTTCTTTCCCAAAAGAAATAGTCTGCCATATTTGGAGGATACTTTTCTGATCTTATAATTTTATGAATAGTTTCTGTCTCTAGAGTAAACATTTTTCTATTTTAAAAAATGGGTTACAATTAGTGGTATCATCTTTAATATTGCATGTGCTATCAGACACTGGACTCAAACCTTTTTTTTTAAATTCTTATCGCAAAATCCACGCCAGGAAACGAGATGGCTGAGTAACAACATAAATGGACTTTAAAATGCTCTGAAAGAGGTTATAAAAACAGGACATTATCCCTGATTTTCCAGTTACTGGTACTTGAGCAACACAATATGAATATTTTTAAATGAACAGAATAATTTTAATTTATAATTTTTCCATCCAAATGGTTCCATGTTACCCCTTATGTAGAGAGAGTGAGTTCCTGGAACATCGCTGCTGCTAGATGAACACAGAAGGGGAAAAATCACTGTGAACAGGAATGGAAACAACATCCATGCAGAAAACAGCAGCCGGCTCCGCAAGCCGCGGTGGTGGGGACCAAGGCCCTGGGGGGCTGAAACTTCAAATTAAACCACATAAAGAGGAAGCGGCTGTAACCTAAATCAGCAACAACAGGAATAATGGTCTCCATCTCTGCAAGATCAGGGCTGCTAAGATGCTCGATAGCACAGAAGCCTGGCTTAAAACACAAAGAACACGTGCAAACCACCAAGCCCCTGGACTTTAGAACTGCTCCTTGCCAACTCAGTCCGAACTTTCATCAAAAGATGATTCTGTTCTTAATAATGTGAGAAAGTTCAGATTTTGTAAGGCTTTATCTGAAGACTTCTAATGAGAGCTGCTCCCTCAAATAGGATACAGTCATTTCACACTCAACATAAAGCTAACAGCGGAACCCCAGACATGATGTCATTGCCCTGGAGTCCTGTGGTCACTCACAGAGCGAGCAGTTCCTGCCAGGTCAGCCTGAGTATGGATTCACCTGAGAAGCTGGGAAACTGAGCACTGCAGTCTTTAATCACGAGCAGATATTGGGACACATGCACGCTTCTCTCTGCATGCTTAACTGCTTGCCTAACAGCTTTAATCCTTAAGGACTTCACTTATGAGCTATATTCCTTTGCACACTCGTTTCTTCATTCACCCGTCAAACATTTATTAGGCCTTTACCTATTATGTGCCCTGTAGCAATTTCAGTTCCTGACTGACCCAGATGGGTCATTACACTTCTGTGACCTAGTATCAGCTAGGACCCAGGAGCTGGCAAGGGGCACTGACAGACATCCTGTGAACTTCACGTCCAGCCCTGTCCGTGCTGGACATGCAGCAGGCTGGGAGTTGGAGAACACAGCCTTAGAGACCAATAGGCAGGGTGTCCTGGGCTGCCTCGAGGTGGGTATGACATTAGCCCCAGTCTGCACTGTAACATGGGCTTTGATTAATACCTGTCAGAAAAACAAAGCCACGAAAATGAAAATGAGGAGAGCAAGCAGCCAAAACTGAGATAAGGGGAAGTGAACTCCCAGAAAAAACTCCCCTGCCTGTAAGCATAACTCCATGCAACAGAAGGTGGTGGAAAAGCAGGAGGCAGAAATTAGCCTTTTTAAGCATCCAAAAGAAATTCGACCTTTTCCTAAAATTGTTCATCCACCTGACTTTTCTCAAGAACATCTAATGAACATCAGATCCTCTGTCATCCTTCTGTTGTGTTAATTTTGGCATAAGGAAAAGCAAATATAGGAAGAAATGAAGTGCACCTTACAAGGGAAAAGCCTTTAAGAAGTTTAGTTATTAGAATCTATTATCATTTTACCCAAGTAATTACAGGTGCGTCTATAGCTGAAGCACACAGCTATTTTCCCCTGAATAGAGATCAGCCTCCACAGCTGGCTTCTGGTCTCTGTTCTACAGTCATCTGAGACAGTAGAGGGTGGAAAAGTAGAAGACATGAGGGGCTAATAATAAAAGAGAGATAATATCCTCAATAAAACAGTCTCACAACAAAGAAAATCCCTTTTGAAAAACCAAACTCTGCCAAAACTCAATTTCAAAAGGCCATGACTCAATATAACTCCTCCTGCGCACAAGCCTCCTGGTAATACAGTAGAATGGGGTGAAGGCCGAGTCAGTTCATCTGGTCAGAGAAATGATATTTGCTTTATCATTGGGGAAAATTTCCACCAGAATAAGTTGTTATAATTATTCCATCATGAGTAGAGTCTAAAAATAAAGACCACAAAAACATGGAAACTGTAAACAAGGATTACTGGGCTCAACAGTTAAAGGGCACTAGATGGCAGGAAAATCCACATTAACTAAACTAATCATTTGAAAATCACCTCAAAATCTACTAAGCCTCTCTTCCTTGGAAGCTGTGCCCCCCTTTCTGTCTGGGGGCTCACCCCATCCTCACCTTTGTCTTCCCTTCTTCCTCTTACCCCATCCCCTAAGGCTTCTCCACCACCCCACTCCAGCCATCACTCTACATTTACTCAAAAGGCCAAGGAAATATGACTGAAACCTACATATGTTATAGTTATTTAATATGCATTAAATTCTCTGCTCTTAATTCCCCATGTTCTCTTTTAAGGGTCACAGTGCATATTAATTAGATATTTACAGGCTCTTTCTTCTTAAGAAAATAATCTTAAAAACTCAAATAAATATGACTTTCTAAGCATTTGAAAGGTCATGGAAATTTCTTCAATCATGATGTTTCTAAGTAATCACACACACACACACACACACACACACACGGGGGTGGGGAGGTGGGCAGCCTTCTGCTAGTTAGACTGTTCAGTTAATACCGAATCAGACAATATAATATTTTTGGTCCTTTCTAATCTTATTATTGAACACTCAGGGTTTTATGTTTTCCTTTTAGATAAAAAGGACTTACCTGACAACTTTATTAACTATAGCATAACAAGGCCAACCAAGGCTATCTTTTATATAAAAATGATGCATCACTGATAAAAGCCCAATTAATAGGCCACCATAAAAGACAACTGTTAATTACCTAATTCTTCAATTATACCATTACTTGTGCTATTTTTGTAAACTTAAATAATCAGTGACCTGAAGGTCTTTTTTTCTTCCTTTGAACAATGTTAAATTTACAGAAACGTTTTAAGAGCAGGCCGCTGGTCCCTGGGCCTCCTTCCCGCACGCGCCCCACTCTGTCACTCTGGGACTCTCTCCATGTGGCAAACACGCTTGAGAAAAAGCTGCAGGCGTTATGGCCTTTAGATCTAGATTCGTCAGCTTAGATCTTCTAGATCAAGAACACTCTCACTCACAATCACAATCACAATGCAACTACAGCTCCTGACAGACCCAACACTGGACGGCACGCCTGCTGTGGTCAGACCGGTCACTCATGCTTCTTTGTGCAGGTCACTGTAACTCAGGCCTCTGGGCTTTAGCATGTGCTGTTCCCTTTGTCTAAACTGCCTCCCACTCTTCTTTGCATAATGAATACCTCTTCCAAG